AAAAAAAAAAAGTTGACTGTTCCCTGGTCTTGGCATTAACATTTATCTTTCAACCAACCATACTGAATATGAACAGACATTCTGTTGCTCCTTTTTAGAGAAGAAGCATAAAGAAATTGTGCAACTTGCCCAGGGTTAAGTACTTGGTAAATTGGAGCTTAGACTAAGAACCATATCTGTTTTGCTTCAGAAGCCAAGCTTTAAATACCACATTCCCCTTGGAGCAACCCAGTCCCACGAACCACCCAATCACCCTGAATCATCTCATTCTAGTTTAGTTATTTAACTTTCTGAGGGTTTTGGGAGGTTTGTTTATTGTTTGATTAATTTAGTCCCTTACCTACCTTGACTTCCTCTAGGAATGGAATCCATTGATCAGAAACCTATTTATTTACTTCATTGCTCTCCACAGTCCCTAGAATATTATCTCTCTTGGTATGGTGGTGTTGTGTGCCCTTTGGAACCCAGCAGGTTTTCAGAGGCAGCTTATCCTGTGGGAGGAGCTTGCCCATCCTTCTCCCTTGGAGCACCTGGTGAATTTTAAATGCTTGTCTTTCAGATTGCAGCATAGCTTCTTCTTACTAGACCCAATTTATGTGGAATATAAGGGAGCACACTACTCAAGGCACAAATTTTTTCCTTCTCATTGCTCCCAGGCTAAAGAATTGCTAGATCTGCATGAACAGCTAAGAAATTGTGTGGAGAGTGCTACAGAACTAGGAAGATTACCAGAGACATCACAGATTCTTCACTAATAAATGGATATTTCCCTGGGGATTGCCAAGGAAAGGAGTGAAGAGAGCAGGAAGACTGTGCATAAAATTTTAGAGACAAGAGGTCATTGTGTGGGTAGAGAATGATGAAGTTGTTTTTCTCTGTGAAGAGAAGAACCTACGCAACCCAGAGGTTCCACCTTCAAGGGTCCAGGCATGCTGACTTGTTCACCATCACAGCCTTTCTTACATTCTTCACCATTTTTATTTACTTCTCAGTCTCTCCTACAGCACTGCAAGATTTTTTTAAATTTTATTTGTTTTTTTTTTAATGTAAAGAACCAGATTGACTTGTTAGTGGGTTCTTTTCAGTCAGGAACCCTGCCTTACTTACCTCTGACTACTTGTAGCCTAGCAGGGTGCCAGTATTTAGTAGCCCTCAGTAGATGCGCAATGAATGAACAGATGAATTAACAAGTGACATGGCTTGCTAGAAGTCCATTTAACAAGAATTCTGAATACAAGTTGAAGATAAGCTGCAGAAACAGCATAGTCTTGGGGAAGCAATATTAAACATAGAGTTTCTGGATTCTGAATAAATAAAATCCTGGAATTACAGATGTAGGAATGACTTGAGAGTGAGGAAACTGGAGTTTGAGATGTGAGGCAGCTTGTTCAGGATTCCAGGGCAAATAAATGATTAAAATAGGACTTGAATTTTCGATCTAATGACTCTCAGTTAAATTTGCCTTTCAAAAGTTTTACTATATTCTCTGCTGGTCAGATAATAGCTGTATAAGACTGCAATTATAAGTTTCAGATTTAAAGAAATATACTAATGAAGTAGAGTTTTTCCACAGTAACACATATGTGAGAGGAATATGGAAACTAAATGGTATGAAGAATAGATGAGAGAATAAAGGCTGTTTCTCCTGGAGGGAAAAAAAAAAAACCCTTGCTGAGGAATCAGAAGGTGAGTGCGGAAATATGAAAAGTATATTCATAAATGTTGTTATTATTGAGTTACCTGTGACTCAACATGACCCTTTGTGCAACAGCTCTGAAGTCTGCCCTGTCCTGAGCCAGTCTCACTGACTCTGACACACCTACCCCATTACCCTAGTTACTGTGTCAGTCCTCATTTGAGGTCTTCCTCTCCTGCATTGTCCCTCCACCCTTCTGAGCATACTTAAGTAATTATTATTTTGTTCCAGAAAGAAAAATAGGATCAATAATTATAAGTCACAGAAAAATACATTTCAAATTAATATCAAGAACTATCTCAAAATGAGACTTGTTTAAGAGTTAAAGAACTTTGCTTCCAAACTCTAGCAAACAAAGATTGTCTGGGTGGTATTCTCATCACTAGACTGCGAGTCGTAGTGTAGAGACCATGTTTTCTTTGCATTCCTTCAGGGTCCTGACACACAGTATATATTGTTCAACTAAGATTTATGATGCACATCGTTTTTTGTTTGGTTTTTTTTTTGAAAGGAATCCTTCATGGGGCAGGTAAGAATGGAGGGGAGCAGGAGAATATGAAATTATTAATTCTAGTTACTTTTGTAACACTAAACGTCAAATGAAACTTTGGATCAAACTTCATGGAAAGTAATGCCTCAATACCTAATGAAACAAGGAATTTCATAATCCCACAAGTAGAAAAAAAGTACATAGAACCTTTTTTCTTAAATTCTATGAGGCTTTGTGACATGGTATGTTTGTTGTTATGTTCAAGGAGAAAGAATGGTTTACCATCACCATTGGCTCACAGTGCAGGGCGCTTCTCTGTCTGCTAACCAGACTATAATTCCACACAGAAAAGTTAAAAAAAGAATTTGTTTTGGACAAGTAACATAGGACTGATTTATAGGAACACTAAAATAATGATTGCACCAATAAATTCACACTTTTCAAAGTGATGTCTAACCCAGACAGCCAGGTTTTTCACAGTCCTAAATCCTACTAGCATTGTCACCTTTATTTATGTTTTAACAAATATCTTAAATATCACTTTAGGAAACTTACTTTCTTCACTGAATATTTAGTATTCAGAATGTGTTGATTTGATATTCATGACCCATTATATTTTTTTAACACAACAGTGTAATTCTTCTTAGTGTATGAAGAGGTCATTTGAAGGAGACAAACAACTTTATTTAGACTTACTATAGTAGCCATGAAAATCTATGCAGAAGTAATTGATAATAAGGCAATTATTTAATATAATATTCACCTTATCTAACCTTTGAGAATCTTCACAGTTTAGTTTTTCTAAACAAAGTGATTAAACCTACTTGTATACCTCAGCTGAACCAATAAAAATACAAGCCAACTTCCCACTTAGGTTTTTCTGATGCGATGGGATTAAATTTTCTTTTCTTATTCCTCATACCAACACATTAAACACAGGTTTCTGTTTTTATGAAATATTAACATTGTTCTGTTTCAAGGAATAGTGCCACAATAACCATAACGCTATTCAGGAGACATTTAGCTTTAATTCTAGATTCTTTCCAAAGAACTATATACTACAAGCATAGACAAAATTCTTCTAAGAATTCACAACTTGATCTTTCAAATTTAACAACTTTATTAAGTTTTCCTCTTAGTTGTTAATTTCACTCACATAAATGGAATAAATTTTGCCACTCTGAGAAATATCTTGCTCAAGGACCCTTCGGGTATATATGCTTTACTGGAAGATTCTAAACTACTTCCCAAATAAAAACCAATATCTTTTCCCCTCTCCTTTATGAGTTATAAAACACTCCCCCCCCCTTCACCTTTCATTTAATTTATATGCCAGAGATTTTTCTGCTCTGGGGATGAAAATGGAAGACTAGGGAAGAAACTTGATGAAATAGAGATGATTCAAAGATCTGAAATATTTTATCCTCAGTCGATATAAAGTAAATTATTTTCTCTCTTTTCCAATAACTATCATTTCCCTTGATCTTGGAATCACCCAAAACCTAGCCATCGAGTCCTGTATAAACTAATGCTCTGTCTCAGGATGGGGAGAATGATGAAATACTGGCACCTGAATAGACAGTACTAGTGTGTCTGTATTTAGAGTTATTGAGATACAGCAAATTTAAGACTGCCAATTTTTTCTCATCACTGAGTATTTATTATATATAACAAATACATGGGAAAGAAAAAACTATATTGTGTGATATAAATAGTTTATTTACATTACAGAAAAAACATCAAGACAATGTATACTATTTCAAATATATCCATACATAATCAAATATAGCTGTAGTACATGTTTTCATTGGTGTAGATTACCACAAATGCAAGGCAACATGTGTAGATCTCTTGTCTTATCCTTTTGTCTATAATACTGTATTGTGTAGTCCAAGCTCTCGGTAGTCCAGCCACTGTGGAAACATGCTCCCTTTAAATTAACCTCGTGGACGCTCTTGTTGTGTTGTCTGAACTGTAGTGCCCTGTATTTTGCTTCTGTCTGTGAATTCTGTTGCTTCTGGGGCATTTCCTAGAAGGTTGGAAAGTTTACAAATCTTAGTCCAGTGCTGTTACCTACACTTTAATCCTATCAGAGTGAAGCTGTGATTAAGAACATTGTAAAAATATTCAGAATCAATTAGTATAGAAGCTGGAGCTAGTTTGGAAATGTTATTTTTTGCTTCTCCTTCTTTCTTATTATCTTTAAGCATCTGTTGAGGAGAATCAAAGAACAGAGGCAGAAGCTGAAAGAGAGAACCTTTACCTTGTCCTCTGCTGCTTACTCATTAAGCACAAAGAAGTACTCAACTCAGTGCAATCTACTAAGTCGTGTGCTTCTCTAATCTCACTTTGGAGGTCTCCAAAATGTTTCCATTTTAAATGTCTTAAGAATAAATGTTATATTGGCACTTCAGTGCTACAAGTTTAAATCTTATTCAACTAGAAAATGAGCCATTTGTTAATATTTGAAATAGAAGTTAAAGGATATTATTTTTGGTTCTGTCTAATACAATTTTTTGTGTATTACTACTATAGGTTGGAGACATAAATTGGTACCAATTATTTAGCTTCTGTAAAAAGGTAAAATTCAGCCAAGCTGTCTACAAAGTTCTGATAAAACATTTTTTTTCTCTTGTAATAAAAGAATGCTTTGACTATATAAACAAGAACAACAGTACAAGTTCAAACACAATCCTATTACATACAACAAACTGGGGATAAGGGAGTGTCTGCGTATGTGCGTGTGTGTGTGTGTGTGTGTGTGTGTGTGTGTGAGAGAGAGAGAGAGAGAGAGAGAGAGAGAGAGAGAGAGAGAGAGAGAGATAATAGAGTTTGCTTTTTGGTTTTGTTGGTTTGTTTGTTTCTTGTAGATCTGTCAAAATGAACATGGAGCTGAAAATCATATTCTCAGCAAGCTGGAGATAAAAAGACCAGTAATCCATCCTCTCAACAGGGCAATTCTTTTCATTCCAGAACATGTCTCTGGATGTTCACATTTTTTGTGACACTCACTGTGTCTAGGAGGAGGATCTGTGTTTGATGAGAGGAATAAAGAACAAGAGGATGGATGGAAAGAGGGAAAAAAGAGACCAGGAGACAAGGAAGTAAAGAAGCTAGAAAAGAACAGTGAATGGGAGACGAGGAAATAAAGAAAATTAGAGAAAATAAGGGGAGCTGATCTTGGCCTGGTTTTGTAAACTTTTTTGCAACTGGATATTTTAAAATAGACTTTGATTGATAGGTGTGACTAGGTCACCAGAAAGCAAGTATGTCCTTGGGGGAAAGAAGAGAGAAAAATTTCAAATTGTTGGGTCGGACAAATTTAGGTTTGTTTGTTTGTTTTTAAAGAATGATGTCAAATAAATAGAATAAATCTGCATTGGGTATTGGTGTGGTTTATTTACTTATATTACTTCTGGAGAGTCTTTGGGAGATCTGCAGGTAGCAGGGAAGTTTTAAAAATGCATCATGATAATGCCCATTTAATTTATGTATTAATCCTCTTCTTTTAGAGCATATGTTGTTGTTGTTAATTGTCTTCAAGTCAAGCATGACTCATAGTGACCCTATGAACAAAAGGCCTGCAGCCCTCTACAACTATCGACATTTATCAAAGTTCATAGAGTTTCCAAAGGCATGTTATTTAGGAAGTGGATGCCACTCCTGCTTTGAGCATATAGGGGATGCATTAATTGAACGAAAACAATTTTAAAGGGGCATTTCCTTTGAAGATATTGTTTGTAATCTAGTTTTGTTGCCTTAAGGATCAGACATACAAAGTCATGACCATCCAACAGGTGAAAATGTTGCACGCCAGGAAGTCAAAACTGACCCATAGCTGGCCCTCCAAGGGGTTTTTAGAGGCAGTAAATTGCATGGGAGGAGATTACTCACCCTTCTCCCATGGAGCAGCTGGTGTATTCAAACTGCATGCCTTAGGAATTGCAGCGCAGTTTCTTACCACTAGGCCACCAGAGCTCCCTAAAGGTAGTATGAACAATGGTAATATAAGCATCAGTCTGATGTCCTTGCTGCTCACCAATATGAACTTGTCATTCATTTCTATGTGAGAATTCTTGATTATGGGGATCATTGTACCACTTCACAATGTTATGATGGATCATGTTAAACATACAAACACTCACAAGCACATCCTCTTTTTCATGTGCTAAGGATAGAAATGGAGCTTTTGGGTGGTGCAAATATTTAACAGACTCAACTGCCGAGACAGGCTAGACAGACATTAGTGTCCACATAGAGGCACCGCAGAGAAAAACAGACTTGAGCATTTAATTCTGAAAAATCAACCATCAACAACCCAAGATGGAACAAAGCTCTCCTCTGACACTCGTCGGGTCACCATGAGTTGTAATTCATTACATCAAGTAAGAATGGAAATGTGACTGTAATGGTGATTAATAATAGAATTGAAAACATATGCTACAGTATTAGAAGTCTTGCATTTTTAAAAAACTACCCAAAATACAAGTCATATTGGTTTGAGAGATTAGACGCATTACAAATAAATTCCATTTTCATGTACTAATATTATCATGAAAGAGAATATTATTGCGCTATTAAAACTCAAGATCCTTATAGTAGTAATGTGAAGCAATTTCTTGTGTTTTTATTCTTTTCTATCTTTTTGTTCAATGCTCAATGTTTTTGGTTTCTTGAGTTATCTTTATGTTCCTCAGAATCTATTTTCATATAATCCATCGACTCACTTGGCATCTAAATGTAAGAGGTGAGCTGAAGAACTCAACTTGGCTTAGAACAGCACAAAGCTCAGTCAATGATCTTCCCCTAAGCCTTTAGGCCAGGCTGGATTTATGAACCATATTTTGTCTTTTTCAAGAGCAAATGCCACACTTGTCCTTAAAGAAGAGAGTGCAATATACAGATAGTGAGATGTATTATGGCCTCTATTTTCCAAAGAAATGATATTTTCTTGCCTTTGAAAATAATTCTTTGGAAAAGCATTCTGATTTACTGTAGAGCCTTACAAAGGAAGAAAAGTCTAAATGATTTCTGCTTGGTGAATTTGGCAGAGAACTTGAAAAACTTCCTAGGAACTTTTAAAAGAACAAAATCAAGTCAGGAAGAACTAATTTCAGTAGTGTTTCTGATTATACAAAACACAAGTAATATTTCTTTGCATCAGATTCTAGTTATTCGTTGCTGTGAGTCTGTATGTTAATGATGCTCAGTAACTACCTGCGGCCACTCTTCTTGCAAGTCCAATGTCAGACTTCGTTGGTCAATCAGTCTGCCAACCTGGCTCTTCACGTATCAGTTACTAATAGACTGGACTAGGAATGTAATACAAAATTTTGTTGTATTTCATATATATATATGATTTTCATTTAGAAAAACAATTTTTTCACTACAGCTATTTGCATTTGAGATTAAAAGTTATATTGTAATCTTCATTTAAAATGAAATTATATTTGTTCTTTACATCAAGATATGTTGAAAATTATATTCAAACATTACATTTAGAATAGAAAAGTCTAAATGCAATATGTAATTTAGTACTTCTCTAGAACTAATGCAAAATCTACTTTGATCTCATTTTGGACCTTAATTAAAAAGTAAGTAAGGAAACTGATAATTAAATAGTTGGTTAGTAGTTTGAATGAAGCATGACCTTTTATAGTTAAAAGAGAAAAGTCTATTTAAACAAAGGTTAGCATAATACAATAAGGAAAACAAAATGACCTTTGCTTAAAACATAAATAATTTTAATCATAATGCAAAAATAATGGAAATAATTTGAACCACACCAAAATGAAAATCAGTGTCTTTCAATTTGTTTATTCAAATGTCCTTAGGATGAGGAAACAGAACTCCCAGAGACTGGATGGATGTGGAATCCATAAATTAGCGTGATCACACTCAAACAATGAAGAACAGTATATCTCTGTATTTGAATTGTTACTGGGTATGGTTACTGACCTTGTGATGCAGAGGACCACCACGCAGATGACAGCAATTTGAATTGTTCCAATCACAGCTGCAATTAAGACATACTGAAATCTTACAGGACCAGGGACGACATACAGAACACTGTAGTCCTTTTTTTCACAGTGTTGTCCAGTATAACCAGCATCACACCTGGAGGGAGATATATCCAATTACTAGTAGCTGCTGGATTCATTTTTACTGGATGCGATTCTTTAAGGATTCAGTTACCATTAACTGCTAGATCCAACTTAATCATGAAATTAAAAGTTTCCTTTTTTTTTTGTTTTGGCCTCTCCCACTCTACAACAATATTACTTTGTGGATAAAGTTCTTAATCACATATGTCCAGCACTATCTCTTTGCATTTGTAGTTGAGATGATACATGGTTTCTTTCAACATATTTCTACATACTTAATACTGGATTTTGAAGATACCAGGATTGGTAAATAATTTGAGGTTTTAAGGACTTAACAGAAATATAATGCATGTCCAGGAGTAAAAATTGTTCTTTATGTAGACTGTAGAGAGTTCCACTACCCACTTCAAGGTGCTATTTCTCTGGTTGTTCAAATTCACCAGTGACTCTGCAGGAGAAGGATGGACAATATTCTCCTATGCGATTTACAGCCTCTTAAACCCTGCTTCATGATTAGCTAGGAGACGGTTCCCACTCCACAGCCACAAAAGTGATGAGTGAGTGATTATTTTTCAGGTGAATCCTACATTTATTTTAACTTAGTCTCTAATCAACTTCTTTATTGCCTGAGACAATAATGAGACAAGTTTTGTTTCTGCTGACAGAAAGATAAAAAAAGGCATTTTTAATTTCATTTCAACAATATATTTCTTTTTATTATTTTTGTGTGTGTGTCAAATTGGATCTGACAGGTACAGAAGGAAATTGTCGCTCCTTCCTGGCAGAGCATTTGGTGGATTCCAACCGTGCACCTCTGGGCTTGCAGTGCAGATTCTTGCCACTAGGCTGCCAGAGCTCCCCTTAATATATTTCTTAAGTTATTCTTGGGATCAATGTTGAAAAAAATGTCGTGATTAGTGAGGAGCACAGACAAAAGTCATTTCTTGTTTCCCAGAAATTCCTGATGACCCAGCTATTCCACTGCATGGAATATATCCTGAGAGAATGAGAGCTGAGGCACAAATGGAGACTTGTACACCAGTGTTCATAGCAGCGTTATTCATCATTGCAAGAACATGGAAACAGCCCAGATGCCCAAACACAATCGAATAGATCGAGAAATTATGTTACATTCACATGATGGAATACTATGCTGCTTGCAGGAGCAATAATTTTGTAAATCACTACCTAACTTGGGAGGGACTGGAAAACATTAGGGTAAGTGAACTAACTCAGTCCCCTAAGCACAAATATTGTATAAAACCAATGTTGTAGAAATAGATAACTAGTAAAATGTGTGTGAGGCTCTAAGGTGGGGAGGTTGGAGCAGAGGGGTGAGGATGGTCAGGGGGGTAATCATAGGGTCGTGCAATCTGATGGGTAGAAGGTGGGGTAGGTTAAGGAAATGGGAAAGATCTGGTGGGAAAATCAATGTATACGAACTTTTTTATTAAACCAATATTAAGAAAAAAGACCATTTCATTAATTCACTGGCTGTAAAGTCATCTGCTGATATTGGAGACTTAAATTTTCTTAGGAAAAAAGCAATTTATGATACAGGAAATAACAGTTTTGAAAAATACACTCATGTGCCACTAACCCTTTCTTAGAAAAGTGCAGGCATGACAATCTGCATGTGAAGAATAGCATTTGACCACAAAATGAGAAAACTGCTCCTCTGAAAGCAACACTAAAGGGAATCAACTTGTTATTGATTTAGAAACTCTTTCAGGACTTCACTTGTAATATCTCATAACCACATCCTGGCATCTGCCCTCTCTGCAGCAGGGAGGGACTAATAATGCCAGTTAGCTGAAAAGCAGCAGGCGTAACTTTACAGTGATGCTCCCTTCCAGGCTGCTCTAGAAGCTGGGTGCTAGTGGACTCAGCGAAGGAAAGCATGAAAAGAAAATCGTTTTTGACAAGATGAGAATAAGGGAGGAAGAATGGAAAAGTGGAAGGAGAGAGAAACAAGAAGGAAGAGGAAAAAGAAGGGGAAGGATATGAAAGGCACAAAAGGGACACACACACACACACATACATACACACATACACACACAGAGCACATTTATTTAATTGTATACAATCCAAGCCTCTAGTTGCAATACGTAAAAGTGCTATGTGCAGAATACTGAATGATACAAGAGGCATTAAAAGAAGATGGAAGGAGTACACAGAGTCACTGTATCAAAAAGAATTGGCTGACACAGAAGAATTTAATGAAGCAACATATGATCAAGAGGTAATGGTGATGAAGGAGGAAGTTCAAGCTGCTCTGAAGGAATTGGCAAAAAGTAAGGCCCCAGGAATTGATGGAATAACAATTAACATATTTCAACAAACAGATGCTGCCCTAGATGTGTTCACCAGATTGTGCCAAAAAATTTTGAGGACAACTACCTGGCCAACAGACTGGAAGAGATTCTTATTTATTCCCATTCAAAAAAAAAAAAAAAAGAAGGTGACCTAACAGAGTATAGAAATTATTGAACAATATCACTAATATCAAATACAAGGAACATTTTGCTGAACATTATCTGAAACCAACTGGGATAACACATTAACGGAGAACAACCCGAAATGCATGCTGGGCTTCCTGAAGAGGCCATGGCAGTAGAAATATTATCACCAATGTCAGATGGGTCTTGGTTGAAAGCAAAAAGTACCAGAGAAATGTCTACCTGTGTTTCATTGTCTGTGTAGATCATAATAAATTATGGGTAACCTTGAGAAGAATGGGGATCCCAGGACACTTGATTGTGCTCATGCAAAACCCATACTTAGATTAGGAGGCAGTTGTCAGAAACAACTGCATGGTTCAGGATCAGAAGGGGAGTGCATCAGGGATGAGTCTTGCCTCCATACTTTTCAATCTGTTTGCAGAATAGATTAGGGAAGCTGGACTTTATAAAGTGGTGTGTGGCATCAGGATTGGAGGAAGTGTGTTACAGAAATGACACAATCTTGCTTGCTCAAACTGAGGAGGACCTGAAGTGTTTGCAGCAGAAGGTCACGAACTGCAGTCTTCAATATGGATTGAAGCTCAACAAGAAGAAGACAAAGATTCTCACCACTGGGCCAATTGGCAGCATCATAATAGATGCAGAAGAGATTGAGGTTGTTAACAAATTAAGCTTGCTCGGCTCCACAATCAACACTCTTGGCACCAGCAGTAAAGAAATAAAAAGACAAGTTGCACTGGGGAAGTCTGCTGTCAGGGATCTTTCTAAAGTACTTAAAGCACAATGATGTCAGTACAGAGACTAAGGTGTGCCTGATCCAGGCCATGGTCTTCTCAATTACTTGCTATGCATCAGAGAACTGGACAATGACAAAGATGAAGAAGGAGAATTGATGCTTCTGAGTTGTGATACTGGAGAAGGGTACTGAACATACTATGGGCTGCCAGGAAAACAAAGAGGCCTGTTTGGATATGGTGAAAACAAGTTTCTCCTTGGAGGCAAGGAATTGGAGGTCTGTCTCACATACTTTGTGTATGTGGCTAGAAGGGGCCAGTCCTAGGATAAGGACATCATGCTTGGAAGGGTGGAGGGACAGCACAAGAGAGGAAGAGGCTCTGGATGAGATGGAATGACACAGTAACTGGGGCAACGGAATTAGGTGTGTCACAATCAGTGAGACTGGCTCATGATAGGGCAGGTGGGCAGGTTTCAGAGCTATTGTATATGTATTGTTGCCATGAGTCATGTGTGACTTGATGGCACACAACAGCAACAACATCGTATTACTCATATAATACAGTAATTTCATTAAAACTACATTTGTTTCTTATACTTTGGCTCTCGTCTAAAAAATAATCTCATTTTAGCCATGAAGTCACAGATTTTTCTATTTACTTATTAGATGAAGACATATCCATTGAGTTTGAGACTGTGGGGAGTAATGAATATGTCTGCATCGCTCCACACAAGGCTTGCAGATAGAAAGCTCAAAGAAAGGGGTGCCATGCAATGTTCTAGGTTCAAGTAGGTTTACAGGCAAGATTATTTATTGATTTACATGCTTTTATGCAGTCTCAGTCTCCTACATCTTTAACACCTAGCAATGCATCCATGGATTTTCAGTCACTTTTAATTTTTCATGTGTAGCGATTGTACAATGATTAGAAAATAATCTCTAAGAAGAAACGTCTTACTTTTTTCAATTTCAAATAGCAACATAATGTTTCTTTTTTTTTTCATTCAACAAAAGCTTTATTCCACCATTGTCTCGATCTGTATCCCCGGCCCGCAGATGTCTGTGGGTCAGCAGAGGTGCAGTGGCCGAGGTGACGGGCTGGGCCAGGCCCCAACATAATGTTTCTAAAGGTAAAAGGCTCCAAATTTTGCTACTTTCTCAATTTGTTATTGTTAAGTACAATCAGGTTGACACTGACCCACAGCTGACCCTCCAGCAGGTTTTCAGAGGCAGTAAATATTTTACGGGAGTAGATTGTCCATATTTTTCTGTGGAGCAGATGGGGAATTTGAACTGCAAGCTTTTGGGATTCCAGCACAACTTCTTCCCACTAGGCCACCAGAGCTCCCTGAGGCAAAAATACAGGGAGCTTTGTGCCTTTAAGGAGCTCTGAAATGCCCAAAGTAGCATTTAAGATCCTTCTAGAAGGATATACATAATGATGTGCTGTATAGAGTACTTGAGTGAGTAAGACACAAACATTCTGTGCATTTCTCTATGTGTTTATGTATTTGTGTCTGTGAGAGGCAAAGAAAGGTTCATTGCTGATCACCCAATCAAGGCAAAATGCCAGCCAATTTGCTATAAATGTCTAAAATTTAGACTCCACATTTTTTACTTTCGACATTTAAATAGTTAAGCAGTGAAAATGTTACCTGCAAGACGGCTCCTGCATATTGATGGAATGTTCACACTTTCCGTGCATGCAGAAACCGTTGTAATGTTCTGGACAAGGTATGTGGTGTTCTCTGGCACTTTCTTCTAATTTGTTAGCATTCTCTGTGAATACAGATAAAAGCAAGCACCCCTGTAAATACTTTCATAGCCTGGTAGGATGAAGCAATACATTAACAAGCAAAGCTAGTGTAGGCAAAGGTATTTAAAAGGGCAAGAACTAAAAGACTGTGCTTCAGAAGAGAGAGAGAAAGAACTGAAAGATACATCTTTACAATTGTGTTTAGAGAGGTACCAGCAAAATTACCCAGGGCTTTTTATACTTTTATGCAATTTCCTACATATTCTAAGGCTAGCAATGAGTTGCCAGACAGCTTTAATTTTTCATGTGTAGGGATTATACAATGATCATAAAATAAATCTAGGAAGAAATAACCAATTTCTTGAATTTCAAAGCCCAATGCAATGTCCCTAAGACTAAATTGCTCTAAAACCTTGCTACTTTCTCAATATGGGAGCATAAAAGTTAAAATCTGACTGTGTTTAATTGTTAAACAGACATGTTCCAAAAGCATATGCAAAGTTCAGAAAATGTATTCTTTCTGGGGTTTTGTTCATATGCTGTGAACATGAATTTTACTAACACATACACATATTTTTTTATTACCAAGATAAAGTTACTGAAAGAGCAAAGTCATTCCAGAATCACTTATGTGGATATTCATGGCGTATATGCTGAATGCTGTACGTATACATTATAATTTATAATATTTGGCTTATGTTAATAATGCCATGGGAGATTTAAGTGTGTAAGAGAAAGAAAAAAAAAAAGAGTATTCGAAAATTTTAAAAGTCCCTGTAATTAAGAACAAGTTTTATGTGGTTACTCAAGTTTTTACAAAAATGTGCCAGTATATTTTTTCCGACATTTATTGACTCATATGTATTTGGTTGTATTTTAAACAATATGTCTAAGCAGTATTTTTTAGTTATTTATGTGTTCCCTTTATAATAATAAGTTTTACCTTATTAAAGCCTTACTTATAATTGAAACTTCATAATCTTAAAGTTCCCCACAAACGTGCAACACAGACTTTGTCATCAGCCTAACTGTGCTCTTAGATACCATGGTATTTGGTCAGCAGTAACTGGAGAGTGTGAATGTGGCATTATTTTTCTGAAACAGATGATTTTCTATTATTTGTCCATAAAGGTATATACTTGCTATCAAAACTATTCTGACTCAAAGTGGCCTTCCATTTGGTTTCCCAGGCTTTAAATCACAAGGGAGCAGACTACTCAACCTTCTCTTATGGAGCTACTGGTGGATTCAGACTGAGACATGCAGCTTTTGGGCTGGAGGTACAACTCACTATGCATTAGGCTTCCAGAGCTCCCTTTTTATTATCACTCAGACTTATAATTTTTACTGTCAAGTTATGATGAGCATATTTATCAGGAGGAAAAATACCTGTGCTATTAGTAAAAGAGGAAAATGGAATATATATACACATTTAGGTAGAGTTATAAAATATCTTTTCATTTTAAGGTATAGAAACCATCACAAAGCATTAACATTTGAAATAAAGTGCTAAATATGTTTAGTGATTTCTTTTGCAGGAATATTTATGTACATTTGGAAGATAGTAATTTTTCAAATTACATATTCAGATTTGTGCTATATGGGAGTTCTTATGAATATGCTAGAATTCTGGGAGATACCATTTGTTCTTTATCTGTACCTGAGCTATGATGATAGATAATTCTTTTTAACATTATCTATTTCATCACTGATATGGTTAAGATTAAACTGAATGAGTCATTTCCATGAAAACATTATCTAGAACTCTTTCATGTTGGTTTCTTACCCACTTCTTCAGGCTACATTAGAATTTTGTGACAATAGTTTTCTTCAGTCACCTCTCTGGCAATTTGAACTCACCATTCATTGATTCTGCACTACTGTGGGGTAATCTCCTCTACTGCAATTTACAGCCTTGGAAACCCAGGAGAGGTCAGCTCTGAGTCAGTTCTAACTTGATAGAAAGTATGTGAGTTCATTTTTTTCAGAAATAAATTGCAGCTTATGCAAGAAACCATAATTCAATGAAAATGTACAGTGTTGAGAGTGAAATTTCAAAAAGGGAAACAAGGGACCCAGATGGAAGGACGATAACCATGGTATTTAGATACCTTGGGAGGACTGGTCACTGACAAGTCTCAGGAAGAAGACTGAAGTGGTTCTGTGCCAGGACCAGGGGCCTACAAACTAGAATGGCTACATTGTGTACCCGCTGTTTAAAGGAGACTTTTATCCATGGGGTTTGTCAATCCCACTGCTGAAGTAATGAACCAGCACTGATTTTCACTCTTATTTCTGGATCTTCTCCCATAACTAACTACTCCGTGCTTCTATTTAGTGTTCGTTAGTAACCCTTCAGTGCGTCTGCACACCTGCAAAGAGGAGAATGTTCTGTAATGTCCCAGCATTTCAGTTACACATCATGATTTCAGTCATATTATTTTTTACTGATATAATATTCTGTCAGTTACAAAAACATACCAAGAATGTTTTTCTTTTCTGCATAAAAACATTCAACTGGAAAAAAAAATCCACATTTTAGACTATTTTATTTTAATTTCTGTCCCTGACCTCATATTAACAGTTTGCTTCTGGTTGTGTGCCATATACAAGATTGTAAACTCAAGGCCAGGGCAAAATGAGAGTTTTAGTGTGGTCTGAGTGGGATATTTTCATGAGTTTGTAATTCAGTCAAGTTGATTATGTAGGAAGGGAATACTTTCCATCATAAAAACCCTGCTAATTAGTTTATACTAAGCTTGGAGTGCTCTGTTATGCTTCTGGTAGAGGACTGTCAAATAAGAAAGAGATTGAAAATAAATGAGTAGAAGAAATGATCCCTGGGCAAGAAAATGAGGAGCCATCAATATATGTCAACAAATTTATAGTCAATCCAACCAAGAAAACCAGTTGATTGAAAACCTGAATACATAACCACTTCTAGTAATGTAATAGGCATATTTTTGAAATAAGATTTAAGTATATTAAGAAGAGTAGAAACACAGAAATCTAATATTCCAACAAAACAAATGTAGTGGCCATAGCAAATATTAGTGGTCCTGATACTCATGCATAAATATTCAAGTACTAATATAGCATTTAAAGATTTAAAATTACATAAAAATAATACTTCAGTAGTTTGCTGTTTCTTCCTGTTGCTGCTGATTTAAACTTCAATTTCTCTGTCTTCCATTAGAGAGATTTAATATATAGGTTGTATTCTTTCTTCTAAGACAGATAGTGAATATGGCTGAAACTTCATATCTCTGGTTAAAAATCTCACCCAGGCTTCAGTTTGCATATTTAGAAATGGTTTGTTCTGAAGAGATCCTAACCCAATTATGAAATAGTTTCTTGTAAAATCTGAGTTACCTGTACCAAAGCTAATGAGTTTGCATTGCCATTGTTAGTATTCCAGTCAGGAGCTGTGTAATTTTGCTGTGCTGTAAAGCACAACTACACACACTCTATACTGTAGGGAAAGAAGGAGGGAAAGGGACAGGAGAAACTAACGAGACAGAGGGACTATAAGGCCTCACCTTTCTACAAATTGAGCTCAGTAAGCAGTAGCCATGCAGAGATCCAGGAATAGTGGTCCAAATACTTAAATTAATGCAGTGCAGGATGGAGGGTGTGTGTGTGTGTGTGTGTGCCCTTATCTCCCTTTCTTCAAGAAGTTGAAAATAGGATAGTGTACAGAGAATTAATCTACTAAAGCAACTTATCGTAGACCAAAGTAGGTAAATGCCAGTATAAAAGCTGACTAAAATGATCCATCTACTTAAAGAAATAATGGTTCTCTAAGGGCAAGGTTGTTCTTGTTTTGTTAGTTTCTGTCGAGTTGAACACAACCCATAATCACCCATGAACAACAGATCTGAACCATATTCTGCCTTGTGGTATCTTCATCAAATCTGACGCATTTGAACCAATTGCTTGGAAAAAGAAGCTCCTGAAAGTCAAACCTTGCTATCTATTAAAGTGGTCTCCAGGGTGGCACACTCAAGAAGCCAGCCTGAACTGGCATTCTCTGGGTCAAATGCAGAGTTGAATGCAGCAGACTATTGATGCCTTAGACTATGAATTACTCACTCAGTCAATTCACTGCTCTTGTTCCAATAGCCTGCTCTCTAAGCAGTCTTAAAAATTATTTGACTTAGATGGAGCCTACCAATGGGGAATGAATTTGACAGTCCAACATAAACATCTTATCCAACTGACAGAAGTTTCATTTGAAAGAATTGATTGGAACTGAATTCCCGGATGCTTATTTGGCACAAGTTAGTCTTCAGCATACACAGTTCTGGGACATTGCTACATCAAACATCTACACCTGTGGGCTAGAGGACCAGTCCATGGAGTATTTGAGTATGAGAGACCTTTTGAAGGCTGGTCAGGTGATATATCTCAGGAGAAACTCCTACCTTTCTTTAACTAAGCCTTTCAAATATACACAACTTCCTTAGGCCACGGATTGCCCAGGAGGAGAACGAGTTCGTGAGAGGATTGAAGAGTAAGTTGGAAAGATTCTAAACTAGTGGCAACATTGAAGTTAGAGTGGATGTTTTAAAAAGACACAATTCTACCACATATTTCTAAACAACAGGAGCTGCTCAACAGGGGAATGGGTTAAGGAGCAAATTTCTGGCAATGTTACCACTTCTCAGGAACACTGTGGTGTTATTGTATGGTAGACTACGTTATTTAAAATGTCTGTGTTCACCTAAGAGTAATATATGCTTCTATTGATATAGCCTATATTACTAATAAATGTGTGGGGGTGTTAACAGAGATGTCAGCAGTTCAAATGCACCCATGGTTGCACTAAAGACAGCTAGGCAGCCTCCTGGAAGAAAGATTTACAGCCTTGAAAACCTGATAGAGGTCCAATGTGAGTCAGAATCAACGAGATGGAAGTGGCCAGATTTTTGGTTTAATATTTACTTAACATATGCACATACGCATGTTGTTGATGTTGTTATGTATTATCGAGTCGGAACTGACTCATAGCTGACCCTCCAGT